GGGCGCAAAAACTTCTTGCGCCGGCCCTGAATACGAGGTAAAACAACTATAATACGCCTTACCCTCGTATTCTCTAGCTAATGACACTCTCTAAAATTAATTAGAATGGCACTGTTAACTTTGAGGTACGATGGTATGCGCTTGTCAATTCTTATAGTTCGTTCCTATCTAGTGAAATRACTCAAAGATTACATATACCTTGGCACTATTCAGTTTAATAAAACCTCATTGACACAATATATAGTACGTATATCCCGGCGCTGCTCCTATGAAAGGTAAGAACTTAAGAATGACTAAAAAAATGTAAACTCGGGTTTTGGGTCGGAAACACTTTTATTCAAATATAAAACAAACATAAATAAATAAGTCACTTGGCAAATTCAGATTGCCTATATAGCCCGTACTACGATTGATGTTTCACACGTACAACCGTCGTACCTACAGCCCTACAGGCTCGCCGAATCACTCAGCCGCCCCTGGACTGGACTCGGTTAGGTTATATAGTAAAATATATTGATGCCTCAGCACATCTTGCTTCATTGACCTGACCTACTTTAACAATTTACAAATATAAATATTCCCACCTATATTATATATATATATATATTACAGTGACGACTGTCTACATATAGACTATCAAGCCATATGTAGTACGAAGGCTCACATTTTTTTTTTCACATAACTTACACCACGTTGTTTTTTTGTTTTACTTACTTACTAATTCTTTTTCTTCTCTCTTTTATTAAGTTAGTATAAGTTACGCATCTTACATATATTGTATATGTTTTTTATACTGTTATCTATGTACTTCCTGTCTTCCTGTCTGTTATTTTGTAAAAGCCGTCTGGCGTTGATTATAATAAATATAAAAAAAAAAAAAACTCCTGAAGAATGATTAACAATGACGATAAGGTAAAATAATATAATATATTTATAATAATTTTGGATGGTTCGTATATAGTCTAGTAGGGTTCTGTAAAGAAACCTAATACAAGTTAAGATATGAAACGACTGTTACTCATCATGAATGGCTGAATGATGTTATGATAAATATTATGTTAAAAATCGAAAATTTAATGTGCCAATAATTAACTCAAAATCAGACAACATATTTGTTTGAACATTTTATGGTGTATAGGAAATGCTAATATAAATATTCAGTGAAAATTTCATGTATACAGGGTTATTTGTTTTAAAATTAAATCAAGAATCGAAATGGATTTTATTGAAAAACGATTTTGCATAAAAATGCCCGTTTTTCCTTTCTTCTGCAGGGTAGAGTAATGAATGTATTAATTTTTTTAGTTTTTTATTTTATAAATGTCTATACAATTTTATTCGTTGGGTCAAAAATCTTGAATGTGGGTTTTTAATTTTCTGAAATATGTTTAACATTTCTATTTGTACACCGAGTTTTTGATCTTCGTTTAATGATTTTAATTTTGGTAATAGTGACAGTAAAAACAATTTATCCGGATCATTGTCAGTTGGTTTGTTCTTCATAAGATCTACGAGATGACTTTCAAAATGTGACATTTTTTTATCACTGTATTTTTTTGATTTTAATGTTCCTAACCTAGGTGTCTTTACCTCAGGCTTTTTTGTATGTCTTTCTTCTTCTACTTCTTTTTCTATATCTTCAATTGTTTGTTCTTCATCCTCAGCATCATCTTCAATTTCATTAACATCATCATCGGTATCATCACTAAAATTACCTTCAGTCCTAAAAGAAGGATGTTTTTTAATTTTTATTAAAATAAATAATTAAATACCTAGTAATAACAATAWCTATAATATATAATATATTATGTTTATTTTTTTTAATACATTATACATAGGTTCTAAGTAGATAGTAAAAATTAATATAAATTATACAGGGTGATTCATGGAGTGTACAACACTCATTATTTCCAAAAGCGTAAATGTTTTTGAAAATATAATTTTACATAGCTTCAATTCGTTTACAAAATGTTTTTATTAAAA